CAAACCTTGTAACATATATATGTTGTTGTTAAGTACTATTGAGTTGGTTCCGACTCATAATGACCCTGTATAGGGTTTCGAAGAGTGACTGGTGAGTTTGAACCACTGACCTTGCAATTCACACTGGCCTTGCAGTCTAGCACATTAGCCCACAGTACCACATGTATATATCCAGTGACAAAAATAATGAGCACATTCATAATTCAGTATTCCTTCTTGATCCTAACCCAAAACCAATGAACACAATGCCAAGTGGAATCCTTATAGGACCTACAAGAACTGCCTCAGAGGGTTTCCAAGGCAGTAAATATGAAAACTACCACCTCTATCTCCTTTGGAGTGGCTAGTAGGTTCCAACCACTGACCTTTTGCTTAGCAGTAAGCACTTTAATCACTGAGCCACCATGACTTCCTATTCCCTAACCAAAATCCATATAATTAGGAATAAGAATTTTCAATAAAAACGTTGAAATTCATACATATCTTAATTAATTCATAGGCTTTGATTTTAGTTGAGCTGTAATTCAAACTGAAAACCACATAGTAAACCCTGATAAAGAAAACTCTAGTAATAACCTGACTCATTTCTATTGTAAAAAAATACAGCTACAAAATATGTATTATGAGATTTTTTGTGTAGCTATAGATACTTAAAATTCACAACCATTTTAGCATTGTTTTATTTAACAATTGTGATAAGAAAAACAAGCTTACAAATTTATTATAGAAATTTTTGTGCATATGTTGTATGTAAAATGGGATTAGTTTAATGTTAAAAGGTGATAAATAGAAGATTCATTCTGACACATGCCCTCATATTTTCATGTTTTCTTTTAATTGTTTTATAGACAGACATTAGAATAAAAAGCTTGAATTTTCTGGAGTTTATTCTCAGTCATATGTACTTAAAGAACAAATTCCTTTGTTTAAATAGATCCCTAATCCTTCTTTAAGGAGCTGTGGTAGCGTAATGGTTACGAGTCGGGCTGCGAACCGCAGGGTCAGCAGTTCAAAACTACCAGCTGTTCCGCTGGAGAAAGATGAGGCTTTCTACTCCCGTAAAGATTTACAGCCTCGGAAATTCTGTACAGGGTCACTATGAGTCGGAACTGACTCCACGGCACATAACAACAATAACAGTCCTTCTTTGGGAGTCCTGGTGTGGCATTGTGGGTTAATGTGCTGGACTACAAGGTCGGTTTGAACCGCAGAGTCGGCAGTTCAAACTCACCAACTGTTCCTAAGAAACCCTTACAGAGTTGCTGTGTGTCAGAACTGACTCGATGGCACTTAACAACAACAATTCTTGTTTGAACCCTGTTGTGGCACTGTAGCATAAGCATTTGGATAACCACAAAGTCGGAAGTTCAAACTACCAGCCTCTCTCAGAAACCCTATACAGTATCGCTATGAGCCAGAACTGACTCGACCTCACAACACAACAAAACAATAATCCTTTAAATAATTTTGTTCTATGACAATTTTAAATAGCTCATAATCAATGAAGAAGTGTTTATAGAATGAAGAAGATATTATATAGAGTTTTTTGCTTTTTTTTTTAGTAATAGCTGTTATTTGGACTAAAGCAGTTTCATTTATTCTTTCAAATTATGTAAATTACTTGTAATTCTGCTTTTGCGAAACAGCTCTTTACTTTTCTTATCTTTATTCTTCCTGTATAATCATAGGCATTATGATACATTCACTAACGACCTGCCGTAACATTCTGAAATCTGAAAAATATATATACATTTTACATTTGCTTGCTACATTAAAAAGGATCCCTGGTGACACAGTGGTTAAGCATTAGACTGCTAATCATAAGATCTGTGAATTCAAACCAACCTCCGGATCTGGCTATGTGCTCCCTTTAAGATGTACAGTCTTGGGAACCTGAAGGAATAGTTCCTCTCTGTTAGATGCGGTTTCTAAGAGTTGGAATTGCTTGATGGCAGCAGGTTTGATGTGGTCTGCTTACATTTAAAAAAATAGAAATACCTTGAACTGTGAGTAAGTGTGGAGCTAGAAGAATATTGGTGCTAACATCCTTGTTTAAAAGACCAAAAGACTTATTATTTATATGCATATATGTATATATATAGAGCTGTCTAAGTATTAGAACATAAATGAACTAAAAATTAACAGGTGACGCTCATGGTTTTTCAGGTAATGATCCTCATAACAGGTGCACACAAGGCATTTGCCCTGTACAAAGCAATTGAAGAAGGAGTCAATCACATGTGGACTGTTTCAGCTTTCCAGCAGCATCCCAGAACAATTTTTGTATGTGATGAAGATGCTACTTTAGAATTAAGAGTTAAGACTGTGAAATACTTTAAAGGTGAGCATTGAATATGAAAAGCAGACTGTGAGAATGTTTCATTGTAGATAATAATTCACACTTAATGATTATTTGCATTCTTCACTGTGGCATGGCCTATTAAAAACAGGCATTGTGCTGACAAAATAACCATTTCTTTCAAGATATGGAAACATTCTCACCTCAGATAATAGAAGTTGTCACAGTAGTTTCTTATTTTGTTCATAAAGATAATTCCTTCAGTCTGTATATTTTAGCAAATATAATTTTTCTTGAAATTTACAGTTTAGTGACACGTATTGCCTTCATAGTGAATATGCAAGATTTAAAAACAAAGATGAGCATATGTGTCCTTTCTAGTTTTTGTTTCATTTTCTTTGTAGTCTTCCTTATCCTTAAGCTCTATTGAATAAGCATTTAATCACAAGATTGATTTGAACTTCAAGGTCAGGGGATCAAACTCACCAGTCGCTCCTCAGAAACCCTATAGAGGGTCACAATGGGTCGATGACACTTAACAAGAAGTAGATGACTAGGTTTTCACTAGCTCATTTAATACAGTTTTGTGATGCTGTCAATAGTATGTTATGATGTTGTTGTTGTTGTT